TTTTAACGTGAATTGGAAGAGCTTCGGATTTAGTTAGTGATTTGGGCGTGGGAAATGGTGATACGCAATTTTATTTTTTTTTATTTGATACATTTAGTTAGATTGATTGGTATTAATACTAATTGATATTAAATTTTGAAGAAAATCAACGAAAAAAGAATGACGAAGCAAATATAAAAAGAATTGTGATGAAAATATGCTACATTACACATAATGGATTGTGTTCTTAAAACTGCATTTGGATGAATTTGTTGTTTTTTTGATTTTATCCGTAGAAAATGCTTTTTTTGTTGGTGGATTCTTCTGGAATAGGATCCCAGCATTCTTCAATAATAAATTTGTACGATCCGGGAATAGTGTTTGATATTGTTGTCGTATTCCTTTATGAATGTCATATGATATAACTCCAACGTTTAAACTGTTAGGCACGACAGGTGGCGCGCTGATCCAAACACAAAACCTTCGCAACGCATAACATTACAAAGGTTACTATGGAAAATCATGAGTGAATACAAATCATGAGTGAATACAAAGAAACAAATAACCAGACTCAACAATGGAAAAACAAACAACAATTCGATTTAAAAACTAAAACGAAACACCAAAATACACCAACCCCGTTCACCAAAATGGTCACTATAGATGACAATGTTAATAACGGACTCCGCTCTAGCTATAACGGAGTCCGTTTTATAATATCGATCATAGGCGCGTTCAGCAAGTTTAGTCCGGATCCGTAATAGTGTGTTTATTTTAATAAATCCGCTATAGCATTATTAGAATTTCCGTTCCTCATAAATAATCCGTTCTAAGCCAAATCCGTTATATCGATGGTGACTGTGTATCTATGTCGGTGTTATTTATCAGTCAAAACATTTAAAAAATTTGATTATAACGAGGTGCGACTATATCTTATTCCTATATTCAACTCATCCGATTATCAAGGTTCAAAAGATTCTTATTCATGAACTTCTGAAAAATTACGTTACGGAAAACAAATGGCACAATCGTCTCATTGGGGCACAAGCAAGCATTCAGTTTTATATATATGAGTACTACCATTTTGGGGTATATTACATAATTGTTTGTTAAAAATGCGGAATTATTGGTTGCTTTAAAACGCATTATACATTATATCAACGGTTATTTCTTTTTTTAGTTATATATATATATATATATATATATATGTGAGTACTATACAAATTTCCCTTTTGGGTATACTATATAATTGTTTATTTGTTAAAAAACACGGAATTATTGGTTTTTAAGCTATCCTGTTATATTTAAATTTTTTCAGGCAGAACCCAGAAATCCATGGATATTTTCTTTGCTTAAACTACGTAATAATGATACAATAAATAATAAAAACCGGTATGTTGCAGCTATCTAATACAGTTTAATTTCAAATGAGTGATATTTGATATTACGAAATTATTTACATGTTATTTCTGAATCCCTCTTTGAAATTGAGAGACCATTATCGTTATGAAATTATACCTAAATTCTATCGGTTAAATATGATTACACGAAAAATAGAGAACTCTTGGTTGGTCAGATTCAGAACGAGAGTCAGTTTAGCAATATATTATAATGATAAGTTAAATATAGCAGTTACATGTTTAAGGATGAGAGATAATAAACTGAGCAAGTGAATCGAATATATAACTAAAATTATCCTGACGAAAGAAATTGCCTTAGCAATAAAATTAGGCATAAAGGTGAAATTTGAAAAAACCGATGTTAATCCTATCGAAATGTTAAATAAACGAGGACGGATTCGTAAAAAATTGTATGCGAGCGAATTAATATACTAAATTATAGAAAATAATGACGAGATACGTATAATGCTGACAGAGTATGCTGATACTGTATTTTATCGTTATAATGTTTGTGTTACCGATTCGAAAGGAACAGAAGAATAAAAAATATAGTTTAAAAAATAAAGATACAGAAGAACAGAAAATATAGTTTAAAAAATAAAAATACAGAAGAACAGAAAATATGGTTTAAAAAATAAAGATATTCAACGACGGTAAGCTTCTTTGAGTATTCTTATACTATTATTTTGAGTTGGGATTTCAATTTGATTTTGATGGTTGTCGAAAAGGTCACGTGTACCGGATATAATGATAGAATGTAACGTCTGAGGTTGTAGAGGTGGCATGTGCTGCGGTTGTAGATTTTGTTGACGATTCATTTTAAAAATTTATCGATGAGTTAAGTGAAATTCAATTTACTAGAAATTCTAACTGTATTTTTGCAACTACATCCCTTTATAAAAGAAAAAACTTGGTACAAATGCAAATACTTTTGTTAGAAGGATACGATTGATGGTGTTGTTGTTAACGATAGAAATTTCAAATTGTTTGTGATGTAACCAGCCTAAAATGGGTGACAAAAGCTCTTTGGAAAATTCAAACATATTAGGAATTTCTTCTTTATTTGTAATAGTGTGAAAGTTTTTATATTGCACATAACCGTAACTATCAAAAACCCAAATAAAAGGAATTGTTGATATTACATTCTTTTGTCAATGATTCTTGTAATTTTTATATCGGTATATGAAAAACTATATTATTTGCGATTCTTATCAAACCGCAGCTTCAAATCACTACGAATGAAATTGTATAAAGTAACTCTCCCTCAACAAAATTCTCAACTGTTTTTCTATATTAATAAGAGAAATGTTATAGATAAGCTTCTTCCGTAATACTTAAGCTATTAAATTCATAAAGGGTCCTGTATTCGGAGCGCCGACTTTATTAATCTCGCGATAGCTCATTATTAATTATTACCACAGAGTAAGTGGCAAAGTTTTTACAAGGCTACTTTATACAGTAATATACAGAATCCCTTTTCAGGTTCAATAAATACCACAACTATTATTGGTGCATATTTGTAATGCATATACCAGTTTAAAATAAACCTCTCTAAAGTCTTATAAACTTGGGATTGAGTCATATCATGCATTTATAGAGGATACATTATCTGTACCCAGATCAATTATTATTTGTTCGCGAAACATTTGTTAATTCTTTAATGATTAATATTTTTTGTTCATTTCATCGGGTTTTATTGTCGGATCCTTTTGACGAATCATCGGAACCATTTGACGCATTATCGTTACTTGAATTTGGGCATAAAATGTCTGATAATTTTTAACAAGTTTTTTTCTAATTAGATAATATCTGATTCTATTTTTTCGTTCTAATTTTAGATGTTGCAAATAATCAGGACTCGGACCGCTTTTGTATGGTCCAATTTTATTTTCCTTTAAAGTCTGTGTCACAATATATATTTTTTTATTTAAATATAAATAGCATTTAAAATTTATAACCTATAAAATAATGTTTAACTAAAAAATTATTGGAAAACTAATGTTGTGTATGTGATCCTTTAGCATTGATAACAGCCATAAATTAAATTGCGTACATTATCCAAAGGTACTTTTTCTATCAGTGCATCGATTAAATCCTTTTTGGAACTTGGAAGAGGCTCTCTTTTTCTCCCACATATGCTCAATTGGATTTAAATGGAATATAGGTAAGTGCATTCAGTTCATTAGTAATTTTTTTTAAGTGGTGCCTTGCGATCCTTTTTTATAATTCGTTTCGTTTGTCACGTTCAGACAAAATTTTTGGTCGTCGTCCAGGGCATGGACGTACTGTACTGTTTGATTCGGAATGGCCAAGTTAAAAGCAATGATTGAAGCATTGCTCTCTACGTGGTATGCACTGATTATTTGTTCACGAAGTTCTGACGACAATTCTTTTCGTGGTAAAGAAATATTAAATATTAACGTTGATACATGCAATCGAACGGAATTGTAGCTCGGTCCAAAAACAACCACGTACTCCTTCGTGATTTTATTATTAATTGCCTAAATAATAAAAAAACTGCATCTTTAAAACAATTTTTTTACTTGCTGGTTGTATACTTAAGCCCATAGAATAAGTCAAATAGCAAGTCTTGACAGCCTTACTTAAGTCTCACCCTAATAATATCGGTCCAGCACGAACTATATAGCATTACTATATAGTAATATTTGTGAGTGCAGTGATGCTTCTATAACCAGAGGACTGTTTTCACAACTGAACTTGAACCTCCTGAAGTTATTGGATATTTATTTGATAGTAATAAAAGCAGCTGTCACTTGGGCATTTTAGCCGCGGCCAAATGGAATAACCCAAACCATCTTAACGCTTGCATCCAGAATGTAAGACTGTAATATTTTCTGGAAAATATTTTCTTTTATTAATTAGTAAAACGTCCCTCCTGGTACAAATCTCGACTATTGCGAAGATCCATTGTTTATTTTCATGTAAGTCGATCATCGATAGTCGATCGATCAACTTTTCCAGAACAACATTATACTTGTTTTCATTCTAGAAATTATTACGATGAATCCTATAATTAACCGAAGAACAGGTAACTGATGTTTTCCGAGAAGTGGGGTCGTGTAGTTTCATTCTGGTTAGATATCAATTATTTGAAGAATACCATTTTTGAGACAAACTTATACGAAGAAAAACTTTGCCTTGCATTTGTATAATACATAGATTAATATTTGATAAAGAAAATTCTAAACCACGAAGATATGGATTTGTAAATACCATAGTAAGTTAATCGATCTGCTCAAAGACAAAAATATCAGCTTCTCCGATTAGATTTTATCTTTTCGCGTCGTAATTAACTATAACAGACACTGAAACACTGCAAGTGCTGTAAGAAATCTCAATAACGTGAAATTTGGAGGAAGACCTTGAGAGTCGATTATGCAAATGGCGATACAACAATGATGTCAAATTTTGGAAGGTCTCAAGATAATCGACTCCTAATAAACTATCGATGCCTTAGCAACAACAACACTCTTCACAAGCACATAATCTTTCCTTATCATCAGCATTCTCCTCCGCCAGCTACTACACAACGAACACAAGCTAACTTTGGGCAACAAACCACAAATAGGAGGAGCTCCGCAGCAAATTCTACTGGCTAAAATGAATTCTACTCAACTCTTTGAAGTTTTATCACAATTAAAGTTAGTACCGTACTGTTATTATCAATTTATTTACTAATGACCATTATTATGTTTATTATTCAAAACAAGCTCGCGCATTACTAACTCAGAATTCTCAGTTATCATATGCAAATTTTTATGTAATCTTGTGGAAACATCAATACTTGAGATAAAATCATTATTCTATATCCTATGATCGTCACGATTTAGCGAATTAAAATGCTTGACCATTTCAAGAATTTAGATAACGTGAAAAACTAAACTACCAATCATTCTATAAGAATCAGAGATGGTCCAATCTGTCATTACAACCACCGCCCTCCGCAAAGCTATAAATCTACTCTTACTACAGGATATCCAGCGCCGGTTATTCCAAACCCTGTAAATATAAAATCGCAACCATCACCGTCTTCTCGTATGATGGTATACCTCATCAACCTTCAATGATACAACAACCGCCCTCCAATACATCCACCAAAACAGTAAATGGTTCTAACAGGGTATGTTTCACCTTGGGTAAATTAGCTAAAAAATTACAAAATTAAAATTCATCCCTTATTTGGTTAGCCAATCATTTTAGATTGCTGATCCAAAACAAAAACTGCCAAATTGAGGGACATGCCGGAAAAATTTTCACGGTAATTTATATCGGATGATGCGCCGGAGGATCGGATATTGATCAACATCATGTAATTTTTTTTAAGGGCAAAACCAATCAAAAAATGTTCCCTGCGAAAAATTTCTTATTAGACTACAAGCGAAACATATCCTCAACCCATAATAATTTTGAAATATTTCATATCTTGTGATTTGATTTTAAAAAATTACTTTTGATCTCTCCTGATCGATGCAGATTAAATATCCGACCATCCGATCCAAATTTATTACTAAAGTTGCATTTTCATACCTATTTTTTACCTGTACTTTAGAAGGTGAAAATCTACCCCGTTAATCTTGATATTTCATCAATAATTAATTTTTTACTCAGAATACAAGAGCAACAAAAGGTAATTATCAACTTTTAATTAAGGAAGTGACATTATTACATCATTATAGAACTAAGGATATTACCTCATATATGCCACTTCTTCGAATTTTAATCTCTTCGTTTTAATACTAAATTAGCTTACTGATTAATTTTGAAAATGAATATATAAAAGCACAAATTATAATATTTTAAGAGTTAGAAGACGATCGAAAATGAGCGACTGATTGTAATTGAGACCACAGATTTATAATATCAAAGAATTGCTAATACAAAAAAAATCAGTCAACTTGTGTTAACTAGAGAATGAAAAGGGTAATGGATCCAAAAAATCACTCGTATGAGAGGAAACAAGTTATTGAAGCTTTCAACTTATATTCAAAAATAAAAATAAAAATTACCAATATTGCATTTTAGTCCCTCATCCCGGACAATGATTTTATAATTTTATTTATATTATTATACAAAGATATATCCATTCGTTCTGTAATTATACCAAAGCATATAAGAAATTCAATAGGCATTCTTATTCATATATTTTATAAGTTTATTAGTCCTCAAAAAATTGCGAAAATTCCTGTCTCACAGGGAATGAGAATACGATCGATTTTATTCATAATATCTGCCTGCCGGACCATTTCATCTCGCATACAATGTCTATCATAAAGAAAAAAGAGGGATTTGATTTTACGTAAACAATGCAATGAAAACCTTCGTGCTAGACACTTTTAATTTTTTTGATGGTTTCTTATCGTTATGTAGTGAATTTTTTATATCACCAACGGTATAATGAATTTTAGGTTACTTGGCGGTCCTCTGACATGAACACCTTTTGTGGCACACCCTTGATGTCCACAAGTACGGTTTCCAGAATCGGTTAATGTTTTCATTATCTTTGCTCGTGCATGCTCTTCTATCAAGTCAAAGTCCAAGATTCGAAAATAGATTCGTAAGCCTCGTACTGTAAAAGAAGTCACCGGCAAGCTGCTAGCGTGATTATCTCCTTTTAAACATCGGCTAGCTGCCAGACATATGTCTTATACTATAAAAAAGTTCACCGGCAAGCTGCCAGGTGCGATTGTCTTCTTTTTACACTTCCAGCATCCACTGCCGGGACTGTCCGTGTCCCTACATTATTGACGGGACAACGCTAGTATACAACATTGAGGATGCCCCGCATCTAAGGTACTTATTTCAGAAAAATCTGTATTGCAATACATAAATTATTCATAAACCCATGATGTTATGACGCGTTTGGTTTATCAGGTAGCACTCTTGCTTATTTACGTAACAATTATTCTCGCACAATATCTTTATTTAATATAAATTTTATTGGCAGATCTTTATTAGTGTGATCTCGCATTTTTTTTACATTTATTTTTAGCTGAAGAGATATGAAAAAGACGTGTGTAGCGTCACAAATCAGGATCTGACATAGGCGTAATATGGCGCAGTAAACACTATGAGATCTTTTCGGAAATGGAAATTCTTCAATGTATTTTTTGATTTTATATTCATATACCTGATATTTTCGAATGATCTTGTTGATACAATCGTTTTTACTCGTTTTTTGCAAATTTGATTCACTCTATAGAGTTGCCCAAAAGAAATGATATGAATATTCTTGACTTGATTACAGATTGGAAACTTGAACTTAGCTATAATGGATTTGTATGCTTTCCAAACAAATAATCCAAAATAGTCTCTAAAAACTTTTCCATCCACAATCCCAGATCATTTTAGAAGTTCTATATTATTATCTTTTAGATGCAAATACTTTATTACTAGTTTTAAACTCTAATATATCACATAATTATAATATAAATAACTTAAGATGGAAGAGTTTACAATAATTCTAGAAGAATCTTCTTAAAGACAAAGTGTATTAAAAGAATATTTCTAAGCACAAATTATAATTTACTAAAGTATTTAATATATAATTAGTTAAAATATAATTCAATAAGAATATAATAAATAATTTATTAATAAGACAAATATTATAGATCTCTTATTAGATTTATTTTTATAAAAGTTATTCTCTTAATATTTATTATAATATCTAAATATTATTTAGTAAAATATTTATTTATTCTTACTAATTAAGATATATTATTTTTATATATTTTAAAGATTTTATAAATAATATATTAATTATAATACTTATATTACTTTTGCTATTTTCTAAAAATTAATTTAATTAATATTATAATATTAATTTTATTATAATAATATTATTAATTTAGCTATAAAAATTTTATTAACTTTTTATAAAAATTTTATTAAAATCTTTATACTTATAAAATAATCTATAAATATTTATAAATAATATTTTCTTAAATTAATATTTGATAAAATATAATTAAATAATTATCTAATAAGATTATAATATAAATTAATTAATTAAGTAATAAATAATATTCTTAATATTATAATAATATTATAATTATAAAGAGAATAAAAAATTCTTTTTTAATATAAATTTTTTATATTTATATTATGATTAATTAATTTTTTTATTAATTTATATTAATAAATTTTATTTAAACTTTTAGTATTTAATTAATTTAATAAAAAAAATATTTTATATAAAAACTTAATATAATATAATATTTAAATATTAAATATTAATAATAAAATTATAATAATTAATTTTTTATTTACTTATATTAAAATTTTTGAATTTTGATATTTAGTAATCTTAAATAATAAATTATAATTTTTAAATTAGATATATTATTTAAATATATTTTTATATAAATCTTCAAAATTATTATTAACTTATTTTCTTTAATTTTATTTTATAATAAATTTTTTAAATTTTTAAATGACTTAATTTATAATAATAATATTAAATTTAAAAATATTTTTTATTTTTTTTAATCAGTAAATTTTAAAACTTAAAATATTTAGATTTTTTTATTTATAAAATATTTTTATAAATATTTAAAATTAAATATATAATATAATAAGATATTTCTTTAAATAATTTTTATTTATTTATTTAAACTAAATTAATTTGCTTTTAATAAATTTATTTAATATTTTATTAATTTAAAAATAATTTTATATATATTTAAAAGATATTTAATTAATATTACTTATATAATAAATTTGATATTCTTTATAAAATCAAAAATAATATTATAATATCTTTAAATAAGTTTAAAATAAAAATTATTTATCAAAATATTATAATTAATCAAGTAATTTTTTTATATTTTTATAATTTTTTATAAGAATATTAATAATTTTATTATTTTTAAATATCAAAATCAAGTTATTTTTTTAATAATAATTTGAAAATTATAAAAAAGTAATTAATAAATATATATATCTTTAATAAATTCTCAATTAAATTAATAATTATTAAGATATAAATAAATATTAAAAATATATTAAATATAAAATTTGTAATAGCTAATAAAATATTATATAATTAAGAATTTGACTTTAAATCATTATTTAAATTATTTAAAAGCTATTATATATTATTAATAATTAAAATATTTTTCAAGTTTTGATTATAATATTTAATAAAATATCTAATAGATCTAATAACTTATATATCCTGATAATATCAGAAAGTTTTATTTTTTTAAAAAAGTTAAAGTAATATTTAAATATTAATAATAAGATAAGAATTTAATTTAATTATCTTATAATTAATAAAAATATTCAGACTTTTTTAATCTTAATAAACAGCTTTCTATTTTCTTCAGTAATAAATATGATATTATTATTTGATGAAATTTATTAATATTTCAAGATTTTTCAATATAATAAAAATATTATTTTATTAAAATATTTAAAAATTTGATAATATTCTTTTAGTTTTCTTTGCAAACTATATTTCAAAAATGAATGAGACTGATATTTCCAATCTGCATCTGAAATATAAAGTAAAAATTTTAGTTTCATATATGACAAGTCTAATATATATATACAATGACTTACAGAAGAAATGCAATATGAAAAGTTTTACAAAAAAAATTTCATTTACTCTAACATTAATTTAGAATATCTGATTCTTATACTAATAACCTAGAGAATATTTTAAATATTTTAAAAATTATATTAATACTGTCATTCTAAAGAAATTGAATAATCTATATGAATATTTTTAATTAGTAATATTTTTAATTAGTGAAATTTTAATTCTAAATAATTTTGTTATTAGGAAGGATTGATGCAGATTGACCTAATAAAATATGTGTTTTTTAGGAACTATCTATATACCAATTTTCAGCTAAATTGGTATCGAGTTCGTTGAGTTATTTGATCCCGAAGTACCAAATGAATGCTAGCAAAAAAAATTGTTGGATTATTTTACTAGCATTCATCTGGGATCGAATAACTCAACGAATTTGGTACCAATTTAGCTGAAAATTGGTATATAGATAGTTCTCCCTAAGAAGCACATTTTTTATTAGGTCAATCCGCATCAATCCTCCCTGATAACAAAACTATTAAGAGTTAAAATTTCACTAATTAAAAATATTCATGTACACTCAATTTCTTTAGAATGGCAGCATTAATATAGTTTTTAGGATTTTCTCTAGGTTATTAGCTTTAAAATAAGTATGGGGACCAGAATCGATGTTAGAGTCACTAGAATTTCTTTTCGTAAAACTTTTCGTGTTGCATTTCTTTTGTGAGCCACCGTATATAATGTAAAGTAAAATCAAGAGTTTTCAATAAGAATTATTAAAAACATACCTTGAGAGAAAGAATTAGCGACATATTCAGTTCCTCGCTTATTAAACAGAGACCTCAAGTATCTACCAAAGCAATTAATTTATCCTTTTAGAATTGTTAGTGAAATCAGACATAAAAATCACTTGATAAAGATCAGGATCTGCATAACACAAGATCTTCGCGTATCTTTCCACGCGGGCTCCTCCATCTACTTTCACTAACCTTTTTAAATTCAATACTACTATGGATGAATTACTTTCTGCCTCTGAAGGTTCTCATAGTGCATCTCAAAAAGTCAAGTTACTTCGAATAGGAAACATTGTTTCCTTGTTATTTTGTTTCGGGGCTATTATCGTAGGGTTATTGGTTCACCCAAACATAGCGGAAGTTGGCGAAGCAAACCCGTCTTATCTCACGCTACCAAATCTTTTTGTTAATATATTTTGGGCCATTTTATTTCCACTGCAATTTGGGTTTGTTTTATATGCGCAATTTAATGCATTACACGTGGTACAGGAAGCAGTTTCTCGTGGTATCAATTGGTATTTTATTGCGAGCAACCTCCTAATACCAGGTTGGATATTGTTTTGGGTAGGTTCTTTTCATGTTAATTTAAGTAATTGATTTTTCTTTGAAATTAACATCATTAATTACATATAAATTGTTAAAAACAGTGTAAAGAGGAATTTGCTATCAGCGAAATATTTATAATCCTTAATACAATTGCCATCACGAAAATCCATCGAAATCTTATAATCTATTATCCACCAAGCACGAATTCACATCTCAATTCATTCAAATTAATTACTTTTATTCACACACCCTTCTCAATGTATGCTGCATTAACGTTACTGGATGTTTTGCACGTTGGATTTGTTGCATTCGCCGGTACCGATAGAGAGTATCAAATTCTGGCATGTATTGCGGTTTGGGCATTAGCTATCGTTGGAATCGGGTGGACCACTGTCGGATTGTGGAGTGACGGTAGAAGAGATAGTGTTTTTGGGATTTCCATTGCATGGTATGTTTGCTGGAAATGTTTGATTTTTTTTTGCTATTGGATTTATCGACTATTTTTTGAAACATTTTGAACAGGATTTTACTTGGCATCGCCGTTCAACAACGCAGTGTTCTATTCCTTTCGATCCAAGCTATCACATTGGCTATTATACAGGTATTACTATGGTTATTAATGATTATTTATATATACCTATATTAATTAAAATCCTTTCATAGTTATTGATAATAATATTCATCTGGTTCCGATTCGGAGGTGCATACAGCACAAGATCGATACCTGAACGGCGGCCATTATTACAAAACAATCAAGAATGACTATATGATGGAGATGAAAACAATAGAATTCATGAGCCTTCTTCAATCTCTGGGGGTTGGCTCGCTGGGATCTCGTTACTCATTGAATCGTTAATTCTTTATCGATAACCTTTTCTCCGATTTGTTTAAGAGTTTTAATTGGAACTTTTTTTGACTATAATTTTTGCATACTCTATTCATTTATCGATCCATCCATTCAGCTATTTACTTAACTTATCCATTAAATAATTTAATTGATTATTTAATTTATAAATTAATTTTTATTTATCAATTTATGAAACTTTTCGAATCTTTTGTTGATATTCCAAAAAGACACGAGAGTAATTCTGATTTAGATAATTCATAAAATCTAAAAAAAAAAAGAGGTACACTTGTATGTACATTAATAGCATATACACAATTTCAACAATCAACAAATAATGGTAACAAGCCAAATAAATACAAACCTTTCTCTGGCCAATCATAATGCATCAACAAAATTCCTCCATCATTAATTTTTTTATTAACTTCAACATCAATAATTATAATAGGAATCTTACCCCACCATTTAAATTTCTGCGATAATTTCGATCGAGTTTGAGCAAATCCTTTCGTTTCATCATCATTTTCATAATAGACGCATTTATATAGAGTTGTCAGCGCTCTTTTTTGTTGTGATGCACTCAAAGAAGAAGAAAAGAAGAGAAGCGGATTTCCCCGTGAAAAATCATCAAGAGATTGATTATAGTTGGATTTGTGAATGTTAATACCATTGCTAACATTAATATTGCCAATACCATTTTTATAAGAAGTGCCCAATACAGAAATCGGATCAGATACGATTCTCGATAGCCGGATTTCGTGCGCAAATATCTCTCTTAGTGATTTTTGTGTTGATGAAGCTTCAGATGTCTTACTTTTTTCTTCTTTTCCATTTTTACTCCTCTCTTTTAGTATTTTCAGTATTAATGAATCGCTTGCTGCGTCAACGGGGATTCCGATCCTTCGACATAAATGCAAGAATGCAAGCGAATTATATAAATTTTGGATTTCGTAAGAAAGTGCTGCTGATACAAAGCAACACATAACCGAGTTCAAACGAGTTAGAGAGTCATTATTACTACTGCTTGTATCTGTCTGAGTATTACGATGGTAAAATTCCAAATTTACACCTGAAATTTTACGGTTCTCAAAAAAATCTACAAGCATCTCTATGGAAATAGAAGGAGAAATTTGCTTTTTGACTACCACATCACCAGAATTCAATAAAGCGTTCAAGGTTTGTAGTGATTTGGTATTCACTTGTTTTTCTTTTGGATTGTTGTAGAAAAAGTCTGGATGCACACAAAAAAGGAACTTGGTGACGTATGGTTTTAAGAGCGTTTGGACTTCTCGCGGAAGTTTGGTGGTTTTTAGCATTCTTCCCTTCGAACAAGGAAAATTATCTGCGTTGCTGCACAGTTGCAAAGATTAACAATAGTCAATATTAGTCACAAAAATATGTCGATCATACCCAAAAGATGCGACGCGTCGCGTAATAATTTATTAGAAAATAATGACAATGTTCACAAAATAATACCCGCCCATTAATGCATTTTCAGTTAGCATTCTCACAATAATCATATATGAAAAGGGAGTAAGAATTATATGGTAATACAGAAAGAATAAGAAAAGTACTAAAGTTTTTTTAAGTAGATGACGATGCAGAAGCCCTTGAAAAATAACCAGTCAAAAAACTAGTAAGCCCGATAGCTTGAGTTTGTTGCCTTCGAAATTCTTGTTCTTGTAAGAATCTATCATTAGTAGAGGAGCCGTAGGCATCCGCGTTCTCATTCTCGCGCTCCACACTTTCAAAATCTCGTTCGCCATCTTCAGCAACGTCATAATGTAGAGGTGTGCTTCTATCACGGTTATTATTTACCTTAATTTGGCGTCGTCGAGTATTGACTCTTCCTTCCCCTACATTACTTTTATTGATGTTGCTGCTGCTGCTGCTGAAACCATTCAAATCTGAGGTGGAAATTCGTGTTGAAGACGCGTTCGAGTAAAAAGTAGATGTTGGTGGCGGTGTCGCAGAAGATGGTGGTATTGCAGAGGACGATGGTGGTGATGACGATGGCCAATTAGCGCGTTCTTGAACTTCTCGTTGTTGTATTTCTCGTTGAACCTGCTCAAGATTTTGTAGCATCATTACCAATTGCTTACGCTGTTCTTGTAGGTATGCTTGTTGCTCACTGATCGGCGCGTCGAATACATCATCAGGCAGTATCGTGCTTACCGGATGTGCTGAATATATTGTGGGGGATGACGGCTCATGGTTGTTTGAGTCATTTAATTGTTGTAAAGACGAGAATGCTGAAGGATAAAAAAATGATATTAGATTGTATGGTATTGCACGCCCTTGTTGTAAATACCCATTTAATCCTGGACTTTGATCATTTGCTTCACTTAAATTATTATTGTTATTGACATTACTGTTACGTTTTTCTATGTAATATGCAGAAGTTGAACTTGATTCACCGGATTGTAATCTATTTCCATCGCCCAGTCTATTCATTCCCTAATAAATAAAAAGAAACAATTATTATGATGATTGTAAAAAGATGAAGGCTGTTAAAATGCTCAAATGAGACCTGCTCGAGCGCAAACTTTTGTAATGTGCTCGGTAATTGTGAACACTTGTTCAAATTGAGTTCAGTTTGAAACACACGGTTTTTTAAGCTTGAATAATCTAATTAAACTTATTATTCTTCTAGGGCGCCTCGAATATTCATACGAGTGCTTTTGAAAATGTATTTATATAGGCTAGTTACTGAACTCGATTAGTTGGGAATCCCGTTTTATAATTCAGCTTCAACTGTGAAGCGGAACTGCTCAAGCAAATTAACATCCTATGAAATATCAACCACGGTATGTAACAAGAATCGATAATTAACCTTTTGATATCCCTCTATCCATGCCTGTTGTAATGCTCGCATTCCTCTTCTAGCCCAATTCACGCCGGTGGTTTTTGCCTGTTCCCGTGCGGTCCATAATGCTGAATCAATTTCTTCTTCATGATCTGTAAAAGTTGGACTCACTATTGAATCATATAAGCGAATGGCGCCCTATTTTGTTTTTTTGGAATCAAATAAATAATGAATTTTCCTTGTCCCAGTAGATTCGTAAAAATAAAAATACCTGTGTTTGTGGCAAAATTAACCATAATACAAAGAACATTTTAAGCTCATAGTAAAACGGAAACCTATGTAATATATTATAAATGCTATTCGGCAAAATATAAAAGTAAAAAAATCATTATAAACAGTATACGATAGATAGATACTATACCAAAATATAAATTTGTCAGTGATGCCCTCTGCTATTGTAAGCAACGACAAAACCGTCCAATAGATTAGCCACGGGGTAGTTTTTGTTACATCGTTTGTTTTCAACGCCTTGTAAGAAGCATACGCAGGATATAGAAACCCTACAAAGTTGCTGTTCAAAAAAAAACATGAAAACTGAGCTCACAACTCACTGAAAAGAACTTTCAGCTGGTCAAATGTTAAGAAAAAAAAATTCAAACCAAACGATTTTGGAGAACAGGTATCCAAGCATCCCAGCAACAACTTGAAGAAAATGAAATAAATAACACCTGTCGAAAAATTAAAATTTCAATTTCAATAGACAGAGGATTACGTGTCTCGTGATCGTGTTATAAATCAATTTGCATAATTCGGAGAAACCGCTCCGAAAAATAGTTGTTTTTAAATTTTTTACAAATATTGCATTACTCTCTTAACTTTTTATAACGCACAGCAAAAATGAATTCTATGAATTCGTCTGACGAAGAAGTTATTACGAGACGTCAACCGGTGAAAATTAAACCACGCATGCTACCATCGAAGTCGCGACGCGCCATTTCGAATCCGGACAACGCATCGAGCATCCAAGAGTCGTCTTCTTCTCAGGAACCCTCTTCGGAAACTGCAAAAATACCCATAATATTAAACTGCTTTGAGGATGATGAGGAAGATGGTTTTTTCACAAGGAAACCTCTATTCACGAGGAAGTCATCCTCAAGGAAGACAAGTACATTTTCATTTTCGCGGCCGCTAATTCAAAAGAAAAAAAAACAATTATAAAAGATCCGAAACTTTTTGCTCATTAATATAATATAGTTCCTAAAAATTCACTATCACAGTTCGATGAAAATATCCACGGTGGTGAGAATGATGATGATGATGATTTTGAATCTCCACGTAAAAAGCATAATAGCCGAAAGAAACGTAAAAAGTTGGATTTTCATGAGTGGAGTGATTCGAGTAAAGATGATAATGAAGATAGCGAGTTATATTCTTATTCGTACGTGAGCTGTATAAATTTATATTTGCTAGTTCATTGTAGTTTTTAATGAGTGCCTTGATCAAAACAGTGATGCGTCAGATGAATTGGCTTCTTACTTTGGGAAATCAAAGAAACAAAAACAAGAAGCAAAAAAAACGTTGAGTGAACCGATCGAACGAGAATTGACACCACCTCCGGAACTCAACAAAGTTCAATTCATGTCTACAATGAACTCCTTACAGTAATCCTCCTTTTTCTTCTGATTTATTATAATTTTTACAATTTTTTTAATTCTCCTCTTTTTTATTATCTTATAGTAAAACGCTCAGCCAATATTCGGAAGGCATCCTTGCAATGAATTCAGTTGATCTGAGTTTATTGGAATCGAAAACACCTCTGGAAATAGATTTAGATCCCGAACTTCGCGCCATTTCACAAAATATTGTACCTCAAGTTAATCAAGAACGACGAACAACATCCTATAAAGTCGAAGTATATGTACGTGCTATTCGTCACCCTTCAATTACCATCACCGAAGAAAATCGTGCGAAATATGACGAGTTTGAGAAGCCAATGAAATTTATATTAATGGCGGTAAGTACGCTCTCCGAGTTACATAAAATTGTGTATTGAAAATATATCTGGAGATATTAACTAATTTTTCCAAATGATCAATTTAGAATGATACCTTTGAGCAACTGATAAATTATTTTTGTCAAAAGAAATCGGTTGCTAAAAATGATTTAGTCCTCATATACAAAAATATTAAAGTGTTCCCTCGAGGCACGCCCATTAGTTTAGGAATCACAAAAGATGCGATTATGGGTTAGTAATTTACTATGAGATTATTTTGTTATATGTTGTACTTGGTTTATTCTATATAAATAACGTGTCTTTGTTGGTTGATACCTAGATGCATTTACTAAGGACACGTATGATTTCTTCCGACAACAAAAAGAACTCGAACAAGAACGAAAAATGAAAGCACTTTAACAAAAATTTCTCGAGGAGGAAAGAAAAGAAAATGAAATTGAATTCGTTGGTTCGAGTAATCCAAATTATCTGCATCTGAAATTGCAAAGTAAAGATGAATCGATTGAAAAGCTTAGAGCTAGAAAGGTTAATTTTTTTTACGCTAAAATAACAGATTGTTATAATTTCGATGAATAAATAAATGTGCTTTACTGATTTATATTTTTCTAAATAATTATTGCAGACATCGACTATTCAGGCTATAATCAACAGGTATCGAACTCTTCGAAATTTACCAGAGACTACTATTGTGATATTAGAGTTTCAAGGAGAAAATCTAGATCCCAATATGCCCGTGGGAGATACCGAATTAGAAGATGGTGATATGATAACAGTCAAGATCGATTAAGTTAAAAACAATTATGGATCCGGGTAAATGGAAGGAACAGGCGCTTGTATATAGCATTAAAATTTAGTAATATCAATATTTAATAACATTAATAATAATAATAATAATAATGGATCGTTAAAAGTAATCAGCTAAATTACGTGTATAAAATTTTTAATACTGCATTTTCTGTGGGAAGGGATAGAATAGAATCATATTGGTTTGTATGCAATATGTATTTCGATAGTTTTCGTTTCTGTGATTTGGTTTAGATAAAAACTAATTGGTAGTTTGTGTTTGGCTTGAACAACGACTTAGACGAGTTATAGAAATAAATAAATTGAATCAAGATCAAAAATAATTGCAAAAGAACTTTTATATTTCCAGTATATCTAGTATCAATGATTTCTTCTTTAACTTTTATTCTCTTCTTGATTAATGATATTGTATTCTTCAGCAAAATGAGGGAGGGTTTTGCTTATTCATGAACGTTTAAAGCATGATCTTAGTGTCTTTTTACATGTATCGCTTACTATAGTTCGAGTCAACTCTAAAACTTATGGGAGCATTCTAGAGACTATCCCCAGAGACCCATTAAATAAGTGCTTAGGGAAGGTTTATTATAGGGTCACATGACTTAATCCCGAATTATAGCTTAATTTCTTTAATGCTTGCTAATTTAAAGTCACATGATTTGGTCTTTCTAATTTTAGAATTTTATATATACGCGTATTACGCGTATCGATCCAAAGTGGCTAGAAAAAAATCTTAAAAATAAACGCTTATTGACAACAATTTGCAAGTATACTTCAGTTATACCACATGCTTTTGCCTAATCACTAAGGCTAATTAGTGGTAATTTTCAATAGAAACGAAAGAATAAATTAAAACGAAATATGGGAAACAATCAATCAACAAGAACAACAAACTATAAAGTGTTTAGAATTTCACGAAAAGAAGAACATTCAGGACCATAAATAAAAAGATGGCGCAGTTGCATGCAACCGATGAGCGAATCATCCCACGGATTGAAGTTGCCATTGATGTTAAGATTAATAGTTTTTCGATACAGCAATTTTATTTGGTAAAGTGTTGGTTGCTGTAGGTGAGGATTGCAAAGTACAAATGAACGTTTTCTAAAGTGAAAATTGTTTTTTGTTTTCGGATACAATCAAATTTTTCAAAACTAGATTCAGACTGTTCTTAAATGCAGTTATAATATTTAGTATTATGGAATAACTAAAAACCCAGCTACAAATGAATGCTTAATCTATAATAATGACTTGTGCAAGAGATGGTAATCTCCGTAAATATATTAATTTCCAACTACGAAAAATTGACTTGGAATCAAAAGTTGTCTTTGATCTGAAAAAAATTTACAAAGAGGAATTTGTGCGCCGAGCCTTTCCTCTTGGGATTATATTAATACTCAAATATCTGAGTTTGGACTTAACATTCAAGCAAATATAGAAAATATAACCAAGAAATTTCAGAGGTGCTAAATGGCAAGACATACACTAACGCAGCAGATATTTATAGCTTTAACTGGTGAACGAGCATTTGGTGATCGAAGTCATGATACGGGTCTTGTATTAGATATTTTTTTTTTTTTTTTTTTTTTTCCCAAAAAGGGAGGGTGAAGCAAGAACCCGTGTATTAGATATTTGCAATGGAATACGACAAATAATATTCCCGAATGGTGCAATTTATTATTGAAATATGTTGGGATCCTATTCAGAAAACTGCTGAAGATCTATGGATGCGACTATAAATCGAATACCACGAAAATTTTCTCAATTCCAACTCCTACTGGTACTATTACTAAATATCAACCATATTTATCAAATATTAAAGTGTCAAGGTTAACATTAATGTAAATTTTTCATTGATTTCTTTAATTTAGCCTCTTTCTTGATGGTGTAAAATGAGGATGTGTCGAGTGACTTTGCAAGACAAACTACAGATAACACGAACCAAGATTAAAAAAAACCTCTCTATAGTCACACCTCTCTTTAGTCACCCAATTTTACTTTCCCAAGTGTGGTGACTATAGAGAATTCTTATATAAATATATATATATGTACAAAAAATTGTTTTAAATAATTATCACTATTTCATCTAAACAAGACGTTTATTTATGAAAAATGCTCCTAAGCAAAAACGAATAACTGCATACTGTCGTGCACAAAGATTTTTCTGAAGTTTTCGTTACGGTAATGGAATGTTATTACATGTACGTCGATTTGTATAGTCATTCAATTAAATGGATCATAAAGAACTATTATTTTTCATATTAATAGAACAATTCATAAAAATTAAAAGAAAAATAATGAAATAGATAAATATATATAATTACAAATTTCATCATGTAATTTTTAACCCTTAAAAATCACATGATTCGAAATTTTTTTTTCACTATGACTAGGGTACTCTTAGCAGAGCATGTAAACTCGATATACGGAATTTGATTGGCTTAAAAATTGTATGCCCTTGTGACAAAAGTACACTCTTATAGTGTACCTTCTTTATAGTGGAGACTAATTAAGCTCACGATATGGTGGATAATATCCAAAACCACCTTTAATAAAATCCATTCGATATAGTAAGTTTACTAATAAACTCTCGATATAGTGGATTTTGAGAATTCTTTACTATTAGATTTTTTTGATGCACTCACTGTGTGTAAGATATTGTCACCCGGTGAACCTCGTTACCGATGGTGTATCAAATGATTCCGTGTTTCCGGCTGAATTATCGTAAATAATTGCCCAGGTCTCGATGCTAAAGAAATTGATAGTATCCATCGGGTACCTTGTACAATAGAGAATACTCTATAAGGAATACTTAAGGTGGGGCTACTATCGATAATTCACGACAGGAATTGTTATCTATTCAGGGCTTTTACAATTTATCTCTTGATTAATCATAGGGTATGTATGCTGTCAGGGATACTATTTATGGTAAAATTACTGCTTTTGCACATATTCTTTTCGAAGTAGTAAACAACCACCAGCTTTGCAGGTTTGATGATATACTGTTATTAAAAAAATATTTATAAACATTAAACCCGAAAAAACAGTCATTCCTTTTTTCGAACACATTTATATATTATATATACAGTACGTGTATAATATAGAATAACAAAGTAACAAAGAACATCTCTCACGATTTCTATTTTAAATTGTAGAATATTTTTATTGCTCGAAATAATAATATGATATTTTCATAAATATGAAGAGGGTGATTTTTTTTTGTATCAACAATTCATAAATCTGTGGTCTCAATTACAATCAGTCGCTCATTTTCGAACTCAGCATATCATAGTTTGCGCTTTTATGTAAGGGTCGCGACAATAAAAAAGAACGCGTTGCTATCGAAAATAAAGTCATTATCAGTCGTTTTTTGAAATTATAAATATTACGAGTTGCGTCTTCAATTATCAATTAATAAATTAAGCGTGATGTAAATATTGATTCGAAAGATTTATCATGGAAATAAAAAATGGCTTTACTTACCATAATTGAAACATTAATAGAACCTGTTATATGTATTCATAATTAAAGCTCGAAGTCATTTAAAAAATCGTTTAATTTTAGACATTTATTTTTTCATGTGATGTGGAGTGAATGCATTCTAATCGTATTTACAATAAAAAAATATCAATTTTAAACTATCGACATTGCTAGATTCATTAAAATTTTTACATGAAAGCTTTCGTGTTAATATTTTTGTCTTTCTAATAATATCAGAACTTTTAATATTCCCAACCATGATTTCGTGTCTCGACCTCTTGTTCTTCCATTTCTTGAAAGTCTCGCTCGTGCAATCCTTTATCGAGTTCATGATCTGTTAAGCCACCGATCGCATGTTGTACAACACTTGAAAAAAAAATCTCGCCCTGTCTTTTGTTATAATCTTCCAGTTTTTTTCTCTTTAGCCGTATTTTTAATAATTCTTATTCTTTTTCTTTGTTATTTTTCAATAGTTCTTTTATTGATAACAGCAACAAGTAACAATAAAATCTTTTAATTGCTCTTTATATATGAACCGTGACTTTTTTCTTTTGTTAGGATATTGTTTAATAAAATAATCAATATCCCAGAACTTTAAAACAATCATTTCTTCTTTCTTCTGGAATCACGAGTTTGTTCATTAATAGCAAGCTTTTTATTTATATGAAGGCACAGCCGAAGCAAAACTTCAATTGTTGCATCTAAGGTGTTTTTGATATTATTTTTAAGTTTTCTTAAGCCATTTTGAAAGTTTTGTGGAAGTAAGAATTCACTGAACGAAAAAAACTGATTATTCTCACATTTTGTCATATAATTATCTTTCTATTTATTACGTGATTTTTTACCATGATTTATTGCAAAATAACAATTCTAACATTTCATAAACATGACAAACAAAATTTTAAATAAAATCAGACAAATAGTATTTAAATAAATGAAATTTCAAATAAATAATAAATAAAAATGATATTCTGAGTATATAAAATCTGAAATATATTATTTCAAATATATGAAATTTCAAAATTGTAAATTGTGATATATAATGTGCGAAATTCTCTTTTATTTTACAATAATGATCATTACAAGCTTTCAGAATCTGCCCCCAAAAATGATATTCCATTATGATATTAAAGTTAAATAAATTAAAAAAAAAATTGCAAGTCTTTGAAATATTCAATCTAAATGTAACCCTTGAAATATCTCTGCCAATCGTTCATTAATATCTTGTCGTTTTTCATTTCGCCAAAACCAACTACCCTTCTCCTCTCTATTGTCAATAATCTCTTGAACGCTATGTTCAGGTGGAGCAACCGGGGGAATCTCGACTTTTTCCAGCCATTTTTTCTTCAACTCATACTCTTCTTTTAATATCAATTCATCTGCCCAACTGGGAAATGCCGACAAGCATTGTCTAATGATGAGTTGCAGGACGCTTAGAATATGTTCGGAAAACCAAATTAAGGCGACCGTTACAAGAACCGCCGACGGGGATGTAAATGCGGTGGAGTTCGGATGATACAAATATACGAATGTTGGATTTGTAATTGAGGATAGCCATGTAATAAGTGCCTACGAATTTATATATGGTTAATTTTTGTTATTGCCATAACGTTATATTCCAATATTGAATTATGCATATAATAAATAAGCTTACTAGATTATCTAACCAAGGGCCAATTGAATCTGCTCGTGAAGGAACGGGTCGACGCGTATGAACACATATTTTGATTGCGTCGGATCTAAGCTCAACCCAGTTATTTAACAATGCAAGTACTGGAGTCAAAGGCCATACAACAGAGAACAGACTGACGTATCCATACTATTATTACCGTGTAATAAAATTTAATTAGAAATCATGAGAATACTCCATAATATACAATATTAATTTAAACATACCTGAGTGATCATCTCAGCATAATCTTCATATATGTCATAAACTGGCAATAAAACTTCTCTTCGTACTCTTCTCAAGAATTCCTCTTCGTCTTCATTTCTGGCATCAACAGAAAGACTATTCTGACGATGTAATATTTTACTTCCAGTAGAGATTGTTTTGTGAACACCTTTTGCTAATCCGCGTGTCATGTACGGCAAGATTAATTCCACGAATAGACTTATTCCTTGTCCGGTAAGGATAAAATATTTCAACTCATTTTTAAGTCTTTCTGGTCCGACAGGTTTTAAGGTAAGCGATAATCCCAGTGCATCAAATATACTCTGGAAGAATTCACCAATTTCCGCGTTGAATGGAATATAAATCCATCCGATAAAAAAAATAGATAGATACCCCACCAAGAAATTCGCTACAAAAATCTTTTGTGTCAAACTAAATTCATGATACGATTCAGTCTCATTGTTCTCGTAGTCGTTCAGGCGTCGAGCAATCTTTACATAGACGATATTCAATGCAGGGACCAATGCGCAATAGAGGATCGTCGGTAGATAAATCTATCGTTTTTTTTTTGTTTGATTGGAGTTAAAATGAATTGTATTCATAGAGATTTTACTATGCTGTCTATTACAATATTTACCACTTGTTCACGAAATGGTCCAGTGTAATATTCCGAGATCGTTACTTCCAATACAATATAAAACAATAGAGCAGCTGCGAGAATCAGACTGAATGCCATAATAACGGGAGCCGCGATAATTCTCCGTAACCATCTCTTCCATAATGGAAAGTAGGGATCCAGTTCTCCCGTGATATGATTCACTACATAAAATTCTTCCTGGAATTCGGGTCTCCGTTGTTCGACCCGTGAAAAATTACGGACGCCCCACCAAATAGATAATTCTCGTTCTTTTCTACGCCAGAACTCCGTAAAGATAACCGACCAAACGACGATAAAAATTGCCAATAGGATAGAGTAATCGGATAAAAAGAAGTATGTAAATAATCCGGCGATCGTTGGTGCAATGAGCCATAGACAATAATATTGAAGGAATGCAAAGTAAAATGCAATCTAGAAATGATATACGAGGATCAGTTAATTTGAAATTACTGAATCCAGTTTTAATCTTTAAAATACCTTTTCACCAAAATGATCTCTCAATAGCATTAGATCATTTCTATCAATCACCCATTTCATTGACCATGATTTTATCCATGTCTATTCAAAGTCAATAATAAATGTAATCTTTTAAATGAAAATTGCTTAGAATTCAAACAAAAAAGCATTAAAGAGACCGTTAACATTGCTATTCGCCTACCTGATTATACTCTTTATTATGAATAGGTAATAAACTGTTCACCAATTTGAATTCACCTAATCCCGGATTAATCCCCGCACCATTTTCCTTTATGGATCTTGTAATAACATCATACACTAGTCGTAATCGTTCTCCCTCAGTTAAAAGAATATCGCTTTCTGAATCATGACCATCCTCTATATCTCGAATACGCACACCAGTTAGCCAATCGTGGACTCTGGAGGATAATTGTAAATGTCAAAATTGAATATATGCGTGGTTATCAAACCAAATTTATATGACTATCTAAGAGGGATAAAAACACAATTTCATAGATTAGGAATATTATTTACCTCGACCGATAAATTTCTTGTTTGAGTCTTTCAGCAGAGCATAGAACAAATATAAATATCATGTCTTCTTTACTCCGACGCAATTCACAGTCGAGTCCTGCTTTCTCTAGGTTTGCTAGCACTAACTTACAAGTGTTAGCCAACTTCGTCTTAAACTCTTCCTTCTCTTTAGAAGGAATTTTGGAGTCAATTACTAGAACATAGTCTGCAAATGCTTCTTTAGCATTCTCCTGTCTTAACTGATGAAAAATGAGTTTTCGTGTCTTTTCTACAACCTTATTTGTAAGGCTAGTTGATAAAAGAGGAACTATTGCGTCAGTCATTGTTTCTATTCGATCATTCCTTGTTTTCTATGAATTTTCTCTAGCATTCACAGAAGATAGCGATAGAATCAAAAAGTTTGGTCGATCAATCAGGTTTATATATTCGATGCTCATTAACACGTTTTCCAATTCTCGCGTTTTTTATGAAATATCGTCATGATATCATCATGACAGAAAACAATTTATTAGTAATAGTAGCGGTAGTTTCCGCATAACTATATCAGACATTAGAATGTTTTAAAAATTTACAGCCCGATACATAATTTTTTAATTGATATCACATGTGTGAATCATCGCAGAATATTATAAGGTGTTGAGAAGATAATAAATCTTTATTTAGTTAATGAATTTCCCACTACCGTCACAATACAAATCAACGGATGTAAAGTATTTATTCTCTTATGTTACAAATATTTTTGGTTTGTTAATTCAATATCTATATAGCATTATTATTAATTCTTAATTCCTTCGTAGCTACGATACTTTCTGAGTAATTATTCGGAGTTGACTCAGGCAATGATGAAAAATAATAACATCAGATTTTATATTTATGAATAATAAATGAGCTAGAATTAAAAAATAATAAATTTTTATACTTAGAGATTTGATACATTTCTTTTTAAAAATCAAGAAATATGAAAAGTTTCTAGAAAATATCATATTTGTTTTAGAAATAATAATGTTATCAAGTGATTAATAATAGATTTTCTTATTAGAAATATTTTATAATTTCAAATTGCTGATAATAATTATGTTTATCTTTAAAACAGTAATTTATAATAAATTTACAATTACAGTTACATTTCTTTAAATATATAATTATTGAAATAAAATTTTTAAAATATAGTTTAGAGAAAATATATAATAAGCATCTAAGTTTCATATGAAAAATTAATCAAAAAAAATATGCATTTAAAGAAGTTATATATTAAAGAATATGTATTTAGAAAAGTGTAATTTATAAGAAATAAATAATATAATTTTTGTAAAGCAAAAATTAAGATAAATTTATTAATAAATACTTTTTATTATTATTATTATTATTCAGATTATAAATTATATAAAATATAAAATATAAAACAAAGATGATTATTATAAAATTAAATTTAAAGTTTTATAAGAAAATTTTTCAAATCTAATTTTTATTTATAAAAAAAACTTTTTATATATAAAATTATTAAATCAAATCTTTTTTTAATTATTATTTTTAAAAAAATAAAATTAAAAAATATATAGTTTCTGAAAATATATTAATTATATAAGTTTTAAGAGATAAATCAATTAAATTATAAAATTAATTATAATAAAAAGATTTAAAACAAATATAAATCAATATAAAAATAAAAAATAATTTATATTTTAAAAATTTGTATATAAAATTATTTTTTATATTTTAATAATAATTTTTCTTGTAAAATTTTTTTATATAATTCTATTTTAATTTTAATTTTAATTAAATAATATAATAATATTTTATATATTATACAATGGCAACTAAAAATAATGACTCAGGAACTAAATTTACTAATAAAATATAATGAAAATTAAAATTTTCTCTCTTATAATTTTAATAAGAAATAATTTTTATTTTTATATTAAAATAAAGTTTATTAGTTATAATTTGACATATATTTTTTTCAGATTTTTTAGATTTTTTTTGAAAAAGTTACTTTAATTGTAAAGTTAGTGCAAAAATTTTTACTAATTAAAAATAAAATTTAATTAATAAAAATTTTTGAACTAACTTTATAATTAAAATAACTCTTTCAAAAAAAAATCTAAAAAATCTGAAAAAATATATATTAAACTATAACTAATAAGTTTTATTTTAATATAAAAATAAAAATTATTTCTTATTAAAATTATAAATTTTAATATAGAAAGAAAATTTTAATTTTCACTATATTTTATTAATAAATTTAGCCTCTGAATTATTACTTTTGATCATTACAGTAATTAAATTGATTTATTTTTTATTATATAATAATTTTATTTAAGATTATTATAAAATTTATATAAATTATTTTATATATATTTTTTATTAATTAAAATTAAATTATATATAAATATTATATTAAATAATATAATATTTTATATAAATAATAATAATAAATAAATTATTTAATTTTAATTTTAAATTTTAATTATATTATTTTGAAAAATATTAAATAATTTCTAAATTTATTAATAAAACAAATTAAAATTATTTTTTTATATAAAAATTAAGTTAAATTAAAAATAAAATTTTAAAAGTATATAAATTATTTATTTAAAATTATTTAATTATCTAAATTTATTAATATAATTTTTATATTATATATTATAATAAATATTTAAAAAATAAATTTATTAATAAAAATTAAAATTTTTTTCTATATTAAAGTTATAATTTTATTAAAAAATAATTTTTATTTCTATATTAAAATAAAAAAATTTATAAATTATAATTTAATAAATATAATTATATCTCTCTAAGTATATTTTTCTTGAAATTATAATAAAAAGAAAATAAAAAATATATATTTAAAGAGGATATATATTTATAAAGATCAAAATATATAAAGTTTTTATAAGCTAAAATCAGAATATATTATATATTTAAAAAGAAGTTATATAGTATATATACTTAAAAAAATATAAAATTAACTGTATTTCTTTTAAATTTTTTATAAAAAATTATTTTAATTATAAAGTTATTATAAAATTTTTTTCTAGTTAAAAATAAAATTAAATTTAAAAAATTTATATTAATTTTATAATTAAAATAACTCTTAAAAAAAATTTAAAAAGTTTAAAAGAAATATATATTAAATTATAATTTATAAATCTTATTTTAATATAAAAATAAAGATTATTTTTTAATAAAATTATAAATTTTAATTTTTTATTATATTTTATTAATAAATTTAACTCTCTAATTAGAGTTAATTCTTAAATAATTTTAGTTAAATAGATTTAAAAATCAATCTTATTTTTAATATATAATATTTAATAGATTTATAATTTAATAAATAATAATAATATTATTATAAATTTATAATAAATTATTATATATTAAAAAATATAATAAGTAATAATAAAATATAATATTTTTATATATAAAAATTTTTATTTTATTAGTAAATATTTTTTATTTTTATATAATTACTTATAATTTTTATAATTTTATATATTTTTTTAGATTTTTAAATAAAATAATTTTTTAATAAAAATTTAAAAAAATTTAAAATATATATATATATATATAAAATTATAAAATTATAAGTTATTTTAAATTAAAATTTTTATTTATTAATTTATTATTATTTTTATAATTCTTTTATATATATAAAATAATTTTATAATTTATTTATAAAATTAATTTTATTATATTTTTTAATTATTATTATATAAGTTATATATATAGTAATAGTTAAAAATAATATATTAAAAACTAAATTTATTGTAAAAATTAAAATTTTCTCTCTATATTAAAATTTATAATTATTAAAAAATAATTTTTATTTTTATATTAAAATAAAATTTATTAATTATAATTTAATATATTCTTTTTAAATTTTTTAGATTTTTTCTGAAAGAGTTATTCTAATTATAAATTAATATAAAAATTTTTATTAATTAAATTTTATTTTTAATTAGTAAAAATTTTTGCATTAACTTTATAATTAGAATAACTC